ACACACCTCCCCGAGACTGACTCCTGTGACTACACCCCTCCCAGCCACTCCTGTGACTACACACCTCCCAGCCCAACTCTATCAGAAGCAGACCACGGGGTGACAGAGTAATGTAACCAAGAAAGCCGATGTTAAAGCAAGGTCAAACTGGTCTACAGACCTGGCTCTCGGGCCCCCAATAACAATCACCTTTCCTCTCAGCAGAGGAAAAAAACAGAGAAAAGGAAAAGCCTTTGCTGCCAGGGGAAGCCCTGGGAAAGCCCATCTGGCCCCATCCTCATCTCAATTCTATTGGCCAGGATTAGCCAAGGCATCTTCATGATCTCAAAGGGCAGATAGCCTAGGCCTGTAACAGGATGTGTTTTCATATAGATATTTTAATGCCCACAAGCCCAGACCCGTCCCAGTTGCTAATGCTAGTAGATTACTCATTCTTCCTCCCGATCGCGTCATGTGTGAGAGTCCAGGTGGCTGTGGGGTATTTGCTTACAAAGGCTACCACCAGTTTCCTTGCAAGCTGTTTATTTTTCCAGCCTCAGGTCATTACATCAGCCCACGGTTTCCAGTTGGGCAAAGAGTATAGACATGTGGGGGTGGGGATCCAGCCAGGAGGTGCCATTGCCTCCGTGACCCCAAACCCCAGTCATAGCAGCTATCCCGGCAGAAATTTCCTGGGTAGAAAAGCAATCTCAACTGTAATGAGTGGCCCAGAAGCTGGCCTACAAGGAAAACGTATCCAAATGAGAAAGGGCAAGAATACTGTCAACCGGCCTACCTGTGACGTGTGTACATGCCTTGAGCAAACACAGACATTCTCATGCAAGAAGAAATGGGAATCTTGTTTCACTGCAAAATGTTGAAGAAATGTGTTTCCACTTTGGGTCCCTAATGGTAGTTCTGTCCCCAGGGAGCAGAGTGACCATAAGATGCTTCATCTACAGCTATACACATGCTGGTCATGGAGGCAAGGGAGGAAAGGCTTTAGGATTCAACATGTGGGCCAGATTCTGGGTCTTTCTTGTATCCCTGATCACATCATGAAAGACTTTTGTAGGAAAGACAAGAAGAAAGGAAATGAAAAGACATGGATGCAGACACAAAGCTAGAGGCTAGGGGCACCAGGGCAAATGGTAACATGCTGCAGTCCTGGACCATTGCCATGGCACACAAAGAGCATGGTGGCCACAACCATGATCCCAGGTCCTGAGAGACAGCACTTTCTCAGAAGAGGAAGCACGGTATTTTGCCAAAGAGACACAAAAAGACAGAAATCGTAACAAGACAAAAAGACGTATACAGTATCTTCATATAGTCAGCTTAGACCCAGAGGGTGAAAATGATTAGACAAAGGCTAGTTCTTGTTATTTATCTTATCTCTTTACCTTCTTCTATGAATAGAGATGGCTTGAGCATATTTTAAATGTCAAGTATTTTAAGAAATGTCTGGATTTAAAAAAAAAAAAAAAAACCCTCAGCAGGAGTTCACATTTCCTTGGAAAAGCAGCCCAGGCTCTGGCCAGCAGTCTTCTAGGACACACTGCTCCTAAGGTCTAGGGTGTTAGCTGGCTGGGAACAACATCTTCCCAGATACAGAAAGGATTCCTTGAGCCACGGATGCCTGTGAAGTGAGGTATGAGGGAGGTGGTCAGGGAAGAGGGGACCAGAAAGGTCCATCTGGATATGCTGAACTTGACAAGGACTCCAAAGGCCACAGCAGCCATGTAGACACATGGCAGAGCTTTCCAGAAAGAGCCAGAACCTCCAGGAGGGGAGAAGACTGGATAGCCAGCAGGAGCGTGTGTCATGTTATTGCACAACTTCAGGCGTCCAGTGGAACCATTCCAACATCAACAGTCCCCAGGCCAGAAAACAAACCTGGCGTCACAGGGTCTGAGTGTGAAAAGAGGATGTTTGGGGTGTAAAAGAAGCTGGGATTGCCTTTTTTTCTTTCTGGGAGAAGGCTGAAAAGATGAGCTCTCACCCGGGCATACTTCACAGAGTCTGACTCCAGCGTCCCCAAGCATGTGGCTGAAGTTCATCTGAGCCCAGAATCTTCCATCAAACTCAAATGAAAAATGACCTCAGGTGTTTAACTCTAAGGCCCCAGTCCTCACTAAGAGCGAATGGACCAGACACAAGTTCTCATCAAAGGGTGTCTGACTCATCATTAGCTGAATGTGTAACATAGCACAAAAAAGGCCTCCTTTGGTTTGTTTTGTTTTTAAATCATTTATGGTAAACCTAAGTGCCCAGAATTACAAGTCTAAAACTGAAGCCTCACAAAATCTTAAGGGCAATAATTTTGCTTTACATATGAGGAAAACAAGACTAGGAGAAGTTGATTGACTTTCCAAAGCAAGGAAAGCCAGTCTGGGAAACCAGGTCTACATATCCATCTCATTCCAAAGTCCATGCTTTGACCTCCTGTGTAAAAGATTCCCTATCCCACTGCCTGAAAATCCAGAACTCATGATGCTTCCTTAGCAACCAGCTACAGTAGCATGCACTGGAACTGGATGGTAAAGCTTAAGAATGGTCCCTGTGAGATGACAATCTTGTGGCCCCAGGAGGTCCTGGGATGGTACAGGCTTACCTGGAGCATCACGGGGCCTCTCAGGAGCCACAGTTCCTACTTCTGCTTGCTCTATGAAGGGGCCAAAAAACTTGAGTACAACAACCCTATGCACGTACCTTCCACTAAAATGCCATATTCAACTGTGCATACCAGAAAATTGTCTCTGTGAAAGATCATAAAGTAAATATCTTAAGCTTTGCAGGCCATACAGGCTCTGGGACAGCTATTCAAGCCTATTCTTATAGGTGAAAAACAGTCATAAACAACAGTCTGGCTGTGTACCAATAAAACTTTATTTGCAAAAACAGTCATGTGGCCACTTGTTACCTGCTAAATACTCTGTGGAACCAAGTCTTTTATACATGATTCCATCAATGAGATTGACAGTTATCAGTCAGTATAGCTAGGTAGTAATGATAGAGAATATTCTAGTCTGTTAAGCAATTACTAAAACCAAAGCCTAATAATTTCCTTGATGTATTTCCTCTAAAGAAAAATAAGCTCTCCTGCAACTATCCTGTCCTGTATACTAACCTTATGGAAAATAAAGGTGGCTGGATCGCTACAACGAGAGAAAGATAGTTGTACTTGCCTAGAAACAATTTCTCAACATGACCCTATGATCATACAAATAGAAAACTACATAAACCTGTAGGGGTGGGATTCGGAACTTGACCCCATCACTTTATTACACTCAGAGAGCACACTTGAGAAAGACATGTGTCACTGGCTTCCTCCAGTCTAACCACAATAAGCACTGTCACTGGCTAAGTACGGTGGCACACATCTGTAATCTTAGCACTCAGAAAGTTTGCAAGAAGACTATAAGTTCCAGGCTACCCTGGGTTATATATCAAGGCACTATCCCAAAAATCAAGAGTTGCAGATATAGATGGGTGGTAGAATGCCTGCATAGCATGCACAGGGTTAAACATGCATACCACCACAAAAAAACCCTCAAATTATTATCACCAATGTTGATAATAATAAGTAACACCCCTAGCAATTATTCATCTAGCCAGCCATCAGTCAAGAAACACACAGACATTAGTGTGCCTGTTAAGGGACAGACCATGATTCCATCCTTTAGGTAAGAACTGAGGCCCAGGGAATTTATTTGACTAGAGTCACTCACTATGTATGACTCTAAATTTTGCTGATTTCAAAGCCTGTGCTTTAACTGCTATACTATTCTACCGTACACAAGCCCAAGGTAGGTCACATGGCCTCTTTTGTGTCGCCATCCCATACTTCCAGCTTATATGAAATAGCAAGCCAATCACAAGGAGAAACACTGACCAGCCCAAGCCATACAGAAATCCCATCATTCACGTCTTTGTCTCATTCCCCAAACTCTAGCCTCCATACTGTCACCTATAGTACAGAACTGTTACAGGAGTAAAATAGAGGAGCCAATGACAACACACACACACACACACACACACACACACAGATCAATGATCACATAAAACCCGCCTGGCCATTCAAAGACAGGAACCCTTTGTCCTTGTCACTAAATTAAACTCAGCCAACAACATAAATTATGCCAATTGCTAGTTCTCATAAGGATGCCTTAAGTGAAAGAATGATCCTCCTGAACAATAACACGGCTCTTGTTTGTTACCACATTTTCTGTTGGTGAATGTTTAGTCTTTACTGATGGTCAGTGAACTCGGTTGGCTTTGAACTTTGTTGGTGACAAGTAATGTTTCAAGTCAATCCTACGAATGTGTTCCCTCTTCAAAATTCATCACCTTTCTACCAAGTCAGTGCCAAAACCTGACCATTCCCTAGACTTCAAAAGATCAAAACAGGAAGGGCATGACTGTAAGCAGTGTGAAAACCTCAAAACAGAGGAATTAAGTCAGTTGGGGCTTGAAGTTCAACTTCTGTATGCCCAGCCTCTTCTTTCAAATTCTCCTGCGTGGGATTTAGAAAGTCAATCAAAATATTAAAACATTTTGACAAAGTTTGCCATCCAAACAGATCAACTACTCATAAAAGTTGATCCTGGCTATGATAAAAGAAGAAAATAAAAACTAGAAGACACAACTCATCAGGTCTCCTTATTTTACAGCTGAAGAAAATGAAGATGATACAAGTTAAATGACTTGCACCAAACTACACTGTAAAGCTGGGCAGAATGGAGTGGCGCAACCCCAAGGATCAGGAGGCTGGGGTAGAAAGATCGGCTTGGGCTACATAATGAGACTCTGTCTCAAAAAGGAGTCAGAAGAGGAGAAGGAATAAGAGAAGGGAGAAGAGGGAGAGAAGAGGAAGGGGAAGGAAAGGCAGATGAGAGAGAGAGAATAGGAAGGAAACAGACAAAAGAAAACAAACCCACACAATGAGTAGTCATGGAACAACTTTGGGGGACCCGTGACAGAAAGCTGAATACATATATAATCCAAGGAAGATTGTTTACCTGAATTTCTTACATTGGTGTTATTCAATTTGGAGTCTTTGATTACCAAGTGCTTAATCCATAGGGTTGGAGCTGTGATTTCTAGAAAAAAAAAAAGAGAGAGAGAAAAAAATGTGTGTGCCTATGTGAGCAAAGAGAAGTTAGTGACATGGAGTGTAACCCAGACTTGTAATAAGCTTTTTAGAGGACTACACATCAAAGCTTCAGCTATCTCCTTCTTGGCATATTGACCTCATCCTAGTGCCAACACACTCTCTCTTCCTTGTGACGGAAGTGATTCTCCCCACCAGCTTCTAAGGGACAACCAGAGCATCCTGTGCTGGGACATAGAGTAGTCAGAATCCGCAGGCACCAAGCCACTCCATCAAGGAATAAAAATATTATCCCAGGAGGTGAGGAACATGGCCAAGCCAAGTCCCTCTCAGCCGCTTCCCTATGAGAAGATTTAAAAGGGATAAATCAACAAACGAATGCCAAACACACCGCAGAGACCATTTTAGAGGAAACAGCTGAAGCACAGCAGATTTGGCCCACTGAGTTTCTGCTTCGTGTGGGGAAGAAAGAAGTGAGTCTAACACATTTCCAACCCCTTTTCCCAGTCAAGCTGAACACCAAACACCTTCATCTAGCGCACCCCAGGGTGTCTTCAGGCTCTCAGTACCAGGGTCACCAAAGAAGACTGAGGGTATGGAATCCTGTGGGGTCACCCTGAACATACCATACAGCAACCAAGTCTTCAATGACAGCAGCAGGACATCCCCAGATGTCCTCATCTTCACCCTCCCCCCATCCCCTAGGACTCATGTTTTCTAATGACAAAGGGGATGGTTGTAGATTCTTATCTCACCTTTCAGCTCTCACTGAGCTGAGCCTATGCTAGGAACATCCCTAGCCATGGTGCCATGACATGGTTTTGTTTTATTTCTCTGTTCCACTGTCTTATGATCAAGATACACTCAGTTGAGCACTGCTAAAATCTTGCTCTATGTTTTACACTGAAAGCTGAACTTCATTGTCACACTTTCTGAAAACCTTATTCTGCCAAACTTCCTGTTCCTGTTCACAGGAATCTGGAGCACTGGGTAAAGTTCCTGCAGAACGGAAGCCCAAGGGTTCCCCCACCTTGAACAGGGGCCAGGCTTCTGCACCCCAGCTCCTCCAATCCACTGTCCTTGTCTCCAGGGATCCCTGGCCTTTATTTGGTCACCATCCACTATTGCCCTTGACCTAGAATGTTTCTCCCAAATGTCTTAATTCAACTCCCCAAATCCCTATGCCTAGCCCAGCCAGCCTCACTTGCCAATCTCTTTCTCCTGCTTCCCTAATGGTGGCCCATACCCATCAACTTTCCCTCCTTGTCCCTGGCCAGTCCTCGCTGTCTGGAATACCCTGATTTCTTCCTTCTGCTTGCAAAATCCAGCTCAAGTCCCTTGCCTTCCCATCTCTTCCCAGAACAATGTCAACTCTCTCTTCCATAAGCATCTATCACGTTGATAGGACCAGGACCTAGAACTTAGTTCATGGAGCTCTCTAGTGGTTGCAGTGAGAGGAAGACTGGCAGCCATTTACTTCGTTCTCATCCCTCCCCCACACCCCAGAAACCCTGTGCCACCCTAGGCACAGAGTGGACAGTTGTAAGTGCTGAGTCACGTGCTGCTGAAGATTGACGGCCTTCACCAGCCTTTCTCACCATGGCTCCCTGGTCTTGGCAGCTTGGAGGGTCTGTCTAAGCCATGTTTTTGTTGGACATTGGGCTACAGGCAGGAAGCCTGGGAAGAAGAGAGGACCATTCCAGAAGAAGAGAGTTGTACCAGTTACTTGGAGGCTTCACATTTTTTAAAAAGATTGGGACAAACCAGCTTGTGCTGGGAAAAAAATTGAAATTAAAAAAGAAAAAAAATAATAATGGAACTTAAGCAAACACATAAAGCTACTGTCTTGCCCAACTCTGAACATGGGTGGAGACAGTAAGAGTGGGAAGTAAAATGGGGGCTCACCATCTCCGTCGAATACGGGCTGCGTCTCCATCGTGGGTGTGGGCTTAGAGCCGTCATCTGAATTGAGGGTTAAAAAGAAACGAAAAGAGACTACCATTATTGAGGTAAATACTATCTACTCTCCAGAACTGTTGAATGGTTGGGGTTTGTACAAGGTCAGAGAAAAAGGAAGAAGAAGGAAGAGGCAGAGGAAGGAAGCAGAGCCAGAGAGAGACACAAGAAAGCAAATCCATGTGTGTGTGTGCTCATCGCAGGGGCTCACAAGGAGATAGGACTCAGGACAATGGAGGCTCCATTCTCTTAAGTCTGAGGATGCTGGAGGACTCTTCCAGCCGACCACACCCCACAACAGAGTAGGGTGGGAAGCTTCTCCCCCAGCAGCCCTGAGCTTTGTCTAGGTGGGTTAACACTGGCAGCCTGTGGAATGAAAGCTTGGTGACTCCACTTCAATTCCCATCCTCTAGCACAAGGTAAACAGTTTTAAACCTTTTCCTAATGGCCCTCGTTTAAAAGCTTAGAGCAGGGTGCTACTCCCTTCCAGACTCCCAGCTGCCTTTCAATCCTTGCCTCAAATAGAGGAGATGCAAAGCACTGCTGTCTCCCAAACACTGGAAAGAGTCAGCAGCATCCCACTGAACTTTCGCACTGTGAGGCAGCACACGCTGAAATCCCCAGCAGCAGGTTGTCGAACAGGAAGGGAAACAACACGGGAAATTGCTGAGATCACCCAGGCCTCACTGTGACATCCCTATCGCAGATGATGATGGGAGCAGGGTGCTCCCAGTAGCGAAGGCCCAGTGCTTATCACTCAGTACCCTTGGCAGCTCTTTTGGCAGAGCAAGAACCTCCATGTGTCAGGAGTAGCGGAGACTTTATTTACCTGCCAGGACTCTGCTTTTATCAAAGCCCCCAAACCCTCAGCTTAGAGAAGTGTTTTGCAACCATTTTCATTATTGCCCATTGAAGGAGGACTTTTGGACCATTTTCTTCAATCACCTCTTAAGAAAATATTAGTGGATAGAAAATAATAAACAGTCCTGTACTGTGTACACCATTTGTGCTATATGTGCAAAAAGAGTATGTGTTTCTCAGTCCCCAAAAAGCCACTATTCCACCCCCCTGAGTAAGGGGGAAGGGGTTATCTTTATCTTGAGAATAATTTAGAGACTTCTCTTTGTTTTCTTCCTCAGTAGGAACAGAAAGATTAGGAACTATTGTTTCAGCCAGTTTGATGATTACACCATGCTCTCCTCCAAAGACCCCCCAGGGATCATTTAGAATGGAACACTATGTTCCCTGGGCATTAACTATTTATAGAGAAGCCTCGATCTCAGATTATCCATGAGACACCAATCAGACCATCTATAATAACAGTGCCCCACCATCTGGAACTCTGGTACCTTCCCTGACCTCCCTGCATCTTATCAGAGGAAGGAAAGAGTAATTCGGATCTCTTGCTGGTGTCAACCCTTAGACCAGAGGGTGTGGATCTCTCTAGAGACTGAGGCCAGCAATCTGGCAGTGCTGGGACACCTGAGCCTGGTATCACTGTCATGTGCTGACACCAAGACCCAACTCTCAGTGGAGCCAAAGCAATCCCAGACTATCTGACAACCATCCCAAGAAACGAGACAGAGCAGAAAGTGAGGCTTCAGTACACTACACTAGATATCTTATTTGCCCCAAACAGAATCCCCTAATGAGTATCTTTTGATGGCAAACCGTGTGAGCTTGATCTGGAAGTCACTGAGGGAGAATAAACACCAAATCGAGCCACACAATGTCATTTTTTTAAAATAGCACCACTTCCCCCAACTCTATTAACACCTCTCTCCATTGAATTCAACAAGTCACTGAATGGAGTCCCCTGGCAGCTGCAGTGCACATTTGTCTGGTCACTTCTGCCAGATGCAGAGTTGAGTGTGAATAGTTCAGCACAGTGCACTCAGCCCCCTCCTCACAGGATGGCTTCTCTTTAGGAGCCTTGAGAGCTAACAAAGGAAAAGCAAGAGGTCAGAAGCCAACAGTGAGAGACCAGATCTAACAGCTTATGAAATATTTCACATTTGATATAGGCATTAAAATGTCTACATGAGAGTTACCTCTCTGTCTGGAGCACGATAACTAAAACTAGTCCGTTCCTTCTCCTGGCATCCAGATGAAAGCCTGGATCTGACCACCTGGGCTAGCCATCAGCAGAAAAGATCTACAGAGAGTAAGGGGGGCTTCCCAGGAAAGATCTGCACATCTGCTGGTGGGGGAACTCAGACCTGGGTACAGAGCCCACAGAGCATGAAGCTGAGGCAGGGGGTTGAGTCTTCCTGCTGGATAGGGTCACTGAGGGTGAAGAGGTCCAGTTGCTCTGTGCAGGGAGGATGGAAAGCTTTATGGAGTGAGAAAAGTCAAGGTACCCTGCTGCCAGGAGCCACCTGTGAAATGCAGCACACCCCAAAGCCAGGAAGCCACGCCAAATCCAACAGAACCCTCCAACCATCATCTCCGGGCACCTGGGCACCTGGCTTCTGACACACCAAATAAGCACAATTTTTTTTTTTCTTTTTTAGTAAACATAGGTCCAAGGCTTGGGTCCAAGGTCCACAGCCGTTCAGCTTCCTGGCAATCCTTGGAGAAGCACCAGGCCCCACACTGGGCCCTGGATTTCTACTGTGCCCTTGGCTTCCAAATCCCTAGTGGGACCTCACACTGGCCCTTGTTTATATCCATGTGTTGCCTAACCTAAACCGCTTACTTTGTCTAGGCAGCATTATCATCTGCTAAACATGAAAGATGCCTGCCTACTAAGCTTCAGGACACTGGCACTCTGCAGGTGTGAATAATCCTAAAATACTATTAAAGAAGCTATTCAACTCTGAGTATTAACCATCTTATTTCAATTACTTACTTTTAATACTGGATTTACGAAATTAAGATCCTATCAAAGTTTTTTAATTAGATAAACCTTACAGTTCAATAAGATGACAGCTTTATTTTAAAACTTGCCAAAACATTTTAATAAACATTATACACACATACACACACACACACACACACACACACACACACACACACACACACACACAAAACATAGAGATGAGCAATAAACACGCTAATCAAGCTCAGTGTCATTCATCATTAGAAGGTACAAATTTACACAATGAAGGTACTTGCCTGTAATCCCAGCATTTGTAAAGCAGAGGCAGGAGAATTACCACACGTTCAAGGCCAGCCTGTGATACATAGTGAATTTTGGACTGGTCAAGGCTACACTACAAGTTCCTGTCTCAAACAAACAAACCAATAAACTCGACAAGTTATCACTAAGTACCCACAAGGATAGCTAAAATAGAAGACAGATGATAACAAGTGTTGGCAAGGATGTGGAGAAAATAGAACCGTTTGTTCACCATTGGTGGAAATACACAGCTGAGCAGCCACTTTGAAGAATAAATTTGGCAATTTCTTTAAAAATCTAAACACAAATTAAATTTTCAACTCCCAAATTCCAGTTCTAGAAATTTATTAAAGAGAAATATTCTAGAAAAGACATGTACACAATTGCAGCAGGATTACTCAAATATACCAAATATAGAAGCTTCTAATTTGGATTTATTTATTTATTTATTTATTTATTTATTTATTTGGAGAGGAAGGCACATGTGTGCCATAATGCCTGAGTAGAAGTCACAAGACAACTGATGGGAAGTCTGTTCTCTCCTTCTACCATGTGAGTCCAGGGATTGAACTTGGGTTGTGGATTTGGTGGCAAGCCCCTTTATTCACTGAGCCATCTCACTGACTCAAAAAGCCTCTACGTTTTAAGTAATCCAAATGTCTATCAGCTGGTAAGCATATAAATTATAATACGCCCATATAAAGGAATACTATTCAGCCATAGAGAGGAATAACTAAACATGAAAATATATACCTGATGCTCTTCAAAAACATAACAAATGGGAAACGAGATGTAACTGTTGCCTGTGTTAGGACACATTTAGACAGCACAGATTTATAAAAGTAGATGCCTTGAGAAAGCAAGCAGCTCCATGAATACCCTGAGTCTGGGATTGGGAAAGGGTAAAACTATAAACAAGGTAAAGGTTCTACAGGGAAGTGATGGAAATTGTCTCTGGTAATAGTTGAGTGACTCTAGGAAGTTGCTAAATTCACTGGATTTTACATTTAGAATGAGTGGGGTGCTTGTTGTTTGCTTGTTTTTCTGGTAGGTTACGTTTCAATTAAAGCTCTTTGAGCCAAAATGAGGGAGTAGCAGAGTCACTAGTGAAAAATCACCCAGTGGCAGCGGCTAGTTATTAGAGCAGTGGTTAAACTGGAGAGGGAGAGAATTCATCCATATATTTTAGAGATAAGTATATCCAAATCTCAGTTTCTTTGTGTGTGTGATAATTTCACTGGTGCTTATTCTGGGTGATTTTTTTTTTTTTGAACCTCAAATAGTAAGATTTTATTTCTCCTTGACGTCAAGATACTCTTTCAGACTAAGGAAGAGAGAGAGAGAGAGAGGGAGAGAGAGAGAGAGAGAGAGAGAGAGAGAGAGAGAGAGAGAGAAACAGTGTTTCAAATAGAGGAGGGTTTGAAACAATTTTTCTTACAGGGAGAGAGAAGAAATACAAATTTGAAAATAAAAATAAACAAATAAGGCAAATGAGAGAATTTCTCAAAGGTGATGTTAAGATAGGCAATCACAATCCCATTATCATATTTTGCAATGCTCTGGCAGGTGGCTTCCCTCCTCCCATCTGCACCATCAGCTAGGGAGGAGGAAGCCTTCAGGCAGATGAAAGGGGAAGTGACTTTCTGTGTGAGCCAGGCCTCAGAGCCAGTGAGCAGCTTTGGAAACTGCCCAGCCCCAGAGTCGTTGCATTTGGCCTTCCAAGGTTGCCCAGCCCCCACTCATGCTTCGTCCTTGCAGGTGCGGCCCCTGCATGAGCTCTGGGAGCCTATAAAGACAGTGGGTGTGTGTGACAGCACAATTCCTTCCCTGAGAGAAGGCCTGGCCCACGCACAGACAGCTGGAAGTCACTTCGACCCCCGATGAC